TTCAAAATGCTTTGTTTGAATGTGTTTGACTTTCAGTTGATTCAAAAAGGATTTTTGAACGTGTTTGACTTTCACTTTACTTAATTAGCTTCGTTGAATGCATTTACCTTTCATTCGATAAAAAAACTTAGTTAAAATGTATTAGACTTTTATTTGATTTAAAAAGCTTTCTATAAACGTGTTTGACTTTCATTTTATTCAAAAAGCTTTGTTTAAATGTGTTTGACTTTCATATGATTCAGTTAGCTTCGTTGAATGCATTTGACTTTCGTTTGAAGCAAGAAGCTTTGTTTGAAGGTGTTTGACTTTCATTTTATTCAAATAGTTTTGTTTGAACGTGTTTTACTTATATTTGATATAAAAAGCTTTGTTTGAATGTGTTTGACTTTCATTCGATTCAGTTAGCTTTGTTGAATGCATTTGACTTCCATTCGATTTAAAAAGCTTGTTTTGAATGCATTTAACTTTCATTTGATTCAAAAATCTTTGATTGAACGTGTTTGACTTTCATTTTATGCAAAAAGCTTTGTTTGAATGAGTTTGACTTTCATTTGATTTAAAAAGCTTTGTTTTAATTTATTTGACTTTTATTTGATTCAGTTAGCATCGTAGGATACATTTGACTTTTGTTCAATTTAAAAAGGTTTGTTTGAATGTGTTTGACTTTCATTTGATTCAATTAGCATCGTTGAATGCATTTATCTTTCATTCGATTCAAAAAGATTTGTTTGAATGTGTTTGACTTTCATTTGATTCAAAAAGCTTTGTCTGAATGTGTTTGACTTTAATTTTATTCAAAAAGATTTGTTTAAATGTGTGTGACTTTCATTTGATTCAGTTAGCTTTGTTGAATGCATTTGACTTTCATTCGACTCAAAAAGCTTCGTTTAAATGATTTTGACTTTCTTTTGATTAAAAAACCTTTGTTTGAATGTGTTAGCCTTTCATTTTATTTAAAAAGCTTTGTTTGATTGTGTTTCACTTTCCTTTAATTTATTTAGCTTCGTAAATTCATTTGACTTTCATTAGATTGAGAAAGCTTTGTTTGAATGTGTTTGATTTTCATTTGATTCAATTAACTTTATTTGAATGTGTTTGACTTTCCTTTCCTTCAAATAGATTTGTTCGAATGTGTTTGACTTTCATTTGATTCAATTAGCTTCGTTGAAAGTATTTGACTTTCATTCAATTCAAAAACCTTTGTTTGAATTTGTTTGACTTTTATTTGATTCAAAAAGATTTGTTTGAATGTGTTTGACTTTCATTTGATTCAATAAGATTCGTTGAATGCATTTAACTTTAATTCGATTTAAAAGGTTTTGTTGGAATGTGTTTGACTTTCATTTGATTCAAAAAGCTATGTTTGAATGTGTTTAACTTTTGTTTTTTCAAAATGCTTTGTTTAAAAGTGTTTTACTTTGATCTGATTTAGTTAGTTTTGTTGAATGCATTTGACTTTCATTAGATTTAAAAAGTGTGGTTTGAATCTGTTTCACTTTTAATTGATTCAAAAATCTTTATTTGAAAGTGTTTGACTTTCATTTGATACCAAAAGTTTTGTTGAATGATTTTTACTTTCATTTGATTCAAAAAGCTTTTTTTTTGAATTTGTTTGACTTTCATTTGATTATATTAGCTATGTTGAATGCATTTGACATTCATTTGATTCAAATGCTTTGTTTGAATGTATTTGACTTTCGTTTGATTAAAAAAGCCTTGTTTAATGTATTTTACTTTCATTTGATTTAATTTGCTTTGTTAAATGCATTTGACTTTCATTCAATTTTAAAAGCTTTGTTTGAATGTATTTGACTTTTATTTGAATAACAAAGCTTTCTTTAAATGTGTTCGACTTTCATGTGATTCATGTAACTTTGTTTTGAGTGTGTTTGACGTTCCTTTCATTTAAATAGATTTGTTTGAATGTGTTTGGCTTTCATTTGATCAATTAGCTTCGTTAAAAGTATTTGACTTTTATTTAATTTAAAAACCTTTGTTTGAATGTGTTTGACTTTCATTTGATTCAAAAAGCTTTGTTTGAATGTATTTAACTTTCATTTGATTCAATTAGCTTTGATGAATGCATTTGACTTTCATTCGAGTTAAAACGCTTTGTTTGAATGTGTTTGATTTTTAATGATTCAATTAACTTTGTTTGAATGTGCTTAACTTTCCTTTCATTCAAATAGATTTGTTTGAATGTCTTTGACTTTCATTTGATTCAATTAGCTTCGTTGAAAGCATTTGACTTTCATTCAATTCAAAAACCTTTGTTTGAATGTGTTTGACTTTCATTTGATTCAATTAGCTTTGTTGCACGCATTTAACTTTCATTCGATTCAAAAAGCTTTGTTTGAATGTGTTTGACTTTTATTTGATTCAAAAACGTTTGTTTGAATGTGTTTGACTTTCATTTGATTCCAAAAGCTTTGTTTGAATGTGTTTGACTATCATTTGATTCAGTTAGCTTTGTTGAATTCATTTGCCTTTCATTTTATTTAAAAAGCTTTATTTGAATGTGTTTCACTTTCATTTCATTGAATTAACTTTGTTTGAAAGTGTTTCACTTTCATTTCGTTCAAATAGATTTGTTCGATTGTGTTTGACTTTTTATTGATTCAATAAGCTTTATTTGACGTGTTTGACTTTTATTTGATGCCAAAAGGTTTGTTTGAATGTTTTTTACTCTCATTTGATTCAAAAAGCTTTTTTAATATTTGTTTGACTTTCATTTGATTATATTAGCTTTGTTGAATGCATTTGACATTCATTCGATTCAAATGCTTTGTGTGAATGTGTTTGACTTTCATTTGATTCAAAAAACCTTGTTTAATGTATTTCACTTTCATTTGATTTAATTTGCTTTATTGAATGCATTTGACTTTCATTCAATTTAAAAAGCTTTCTTCGAATGTATTTGACTAAAAAGCTTTCTTTAAATGTGCTCGACTTTCATTTGATTCAATTAACTTTTTTTGAATGTGTTTGACTTTCCTTTCATTTAAATAGATTTGTTGGAATGTGTTTTGTTTTAATTTGATCAATTAGATTCGTTGAAAGTATTTGACTTTCATTCAATTTAAAAACCTTTGTTTGAAAGTGTTTAACTTTCAATTGATTCAAAAAGGTTTTTTTGAATGTATTTGACTTTCATTGGAATCAATTAGCTTTTGTGCATGAATTGGATTTCAGTTAATTCAAAAGGCTTTGTTCTAATGTGTTTGACTTTCATTTGATTCGAAAAGCTTTGTTTAAATGTGTTTGACTTACATTTGATTCAAAAAGTTTTGTTTGAATGTGTTTGACTTTCATTTGATTCAAAAAGCTTTGTTTGATTGTGTTTGACTTTCACTAGATTTTATTAGTTTCGTTGAATTCATTTGACTTTCATTCCATTCAAAAAGATTTGTTTGAATGTCTTTAACTTTCATTTAATGAAAAAAGCTTTGTTTTAATGTGTTTGATTTTTAATGATTCCATTAACTTTGTTTAAATATGTTTAACTTTCCTTTGATTCAAATAGATTTGTTTGAATGTCTTTAACTTTCATTTGATTTACTTAGCTTCGTTGAAAGCATTTGACTTTAATTCAATTTAAAAACCTTTGTTTGAATGTTTTTTACTTTCATTTGATTCAGTTAGCTTTGTTGCACGCATTTAAATTTCATTCAATTCAAAAAGCTTTGTATAAATGTGTTTGACTTTCATTTGATTCAAAAAGATTTGTTTGAATGTGTTTGACTTTCATTTGATTCCAAAATTTTTGTTTGAATGTGTTTGACATTCATTTGATTCAATTAGCTTCGTTGAATTCGTTTGACTTTCATTTGATTACAAAAGCTTTGTTTGAATATGTTTCACTTTCACTTGATTTAATGAGCTCTTTCCCAAATTAAGGTCAAGAAGAACCGCAATTCCCAAATTGCAGCCAAAGTTTTAAGAATTCCCATTCTACCGTCCACGTCACCGGTTCAGGGGGAAGAAATTTTAAATCCGGTCTACAGCAAAACCGCTACCTGAAGTAGCGGTTTTTACTAATAAACCGCTACTTCAGGTAGCGGTTTTTGTTTAATAAACCGCTACTTCAAGTAGCGGTTTTCTAGCAGGTATAATTTCCCGATTTCACTTTCCTCTTTCATTTTCGTCTTCTCACCAAAATCCCATCTACGCCTTCCACCAAAATCACACCTCCTTCAACGGAAGCCGGCGCAGCCAAGGAATCCACCGACGCCGCCGGAGCATTCCTCGGCAACGAAGGCCGCCGCTGTTGACGCCGAGGGTTCGACTTTAGTGGTCGGCTTCGCTAATTTCAGAAGAAACGTGCTGATCTTCTTGTTTGTGGTAAGTGCCCTAATTATTTTTTGTTGAGTTGGATAAATTTCAGAAGAAACGTGCTGACTTTCAGCTTTCACCGATCTCAAAAGATGAGTTGAATAAGCAGCAGGTCAGTTTACTTGGTCTAAATTTATTGTAGTTTTTAGTCATATACGAACTAGATAGATTTAGCAACAGGCTTATAAAACTTTGCTTTCACTGTTTGTGGCTTTGAATGGGTAGACACATGCAGCTAGAAGTCGTCAAGTTGATGCAATCATAAACCTACACTTAACTATTTTGAGGTTATCCCTCTGAGAACATAAATAAATTGTGCAATCAGTCAATTAGATGATCTTAGAATCCTTTAGATGAAAAACATAAGCTGGTGGTGATTAAATTAGTGATTCCTTACTTTAACAAAGACCCTATTGTTGTGCCTTACTGTCTTGCACTAACCAAGTCTTTGTAATACGCTTTCTCTAAAGAAGTTTGCTCCTTCTGCCCTGATTCAGTCAGCAGTACAATCGATCATAAAACTATGCTAGTATTTGATGCAAGTGGATTTGGATCATCTGGGTAACATGATTAATTATATATTCTTGTTTAATATTTATGTTTTTTCTCGAACGCTTAACATTAATTCAATTTTTTGTTATCATCTGGGTAACATAGATTCTTGTTTAATATTTATGTTAGTCATATACATGTTGACATACTTGTTTTGGGAATTAGATGATTTGGCAGCCATATACTGAGGCGGTGATGGATCGACTTCCGGAGATTTGTCGCTCAGACATGCACATTTGGCGTTCACGGGCACCTCTGATATGCTTTGACGTCGTTGAGTTCCACCTCCCAGACCGAGTCCTTCGTCAGTTCGGGTTAGACCAGCCGATCCCACAGGATGTAGACACGGACGTTGCTCTACACAGGAAGGATCGAAGGGGACAGCGTAATTGGGAGATTCGGCATTCGGACCATGTACACGAGTGGAGTCGACGAGAGGCATTAGTCGTCCAGGGATACCCGTTCACTGGGACTTCTTCCCCGGCCATGACAGAGTACATGGCTTGGTACCGTCGCATCACGAGACTGGTCATTACTCCACCTTCGCAGGAGCGCCCCCCGAGTCATTACCAGCCAGCTACATCGGACCTCCTGCTTGTATGAACTTCACTTCATTTCAATCTAGTTCTTACGTTTTTGATTTCATTTTACTAACATTAAAACTACACTTAAATGTAGGCACATGCATTTGCTGATTTGCACGTCCAGCTATCGGGAACTACTGAGACCATCTCCCACTTGCCACCAGAGACGGCTATACCATTTGCCATACAGACGATGCAGGGTTTTACATCATTTTGTGGCCAAACCTTGTCTAGGGTGGGGCAGTCACACCTTATTCAGCAGCCTCGACCGTCCACGTCTTCATCTTCTACTGTGCACACTATGCCGATCAGACCACCACCTCATCGTGGAGGCCATTCAGCACGTGCCTTCCGTCCACCGACTCCTTCTCAGCATACTATCATGACATCTCCTCCACTAGTGCATCGCCAGTATCAGAGAAACCGACGGCGTAGCAACACTACGTCTGGGGTTGGAGTTGGCCTGGATGACATTCCAGAGGAGACAGCTGCATCATCTTCATCGTCACCTCATGGGAAGAAGCAACGCCCGAGCTAAGTGTATATTTTGGAACTAAACTAATTTTTTTTGTAAATGCTTAGAATTGGATTTTGTTATATTTAATCAATTGAAAAATATTCGACTTTGCAATTTCGACTTCCTTAGATCTTCATAAACTTGTTATTTATGGTGGTTGTGTTGAAAATATGCTATATATCTCATGTTTTACAGGTACACAACTTGCAGGTTTTTTTTTGAGTGATTATGCAAGTTTGAAAAAAAAACCAGTCCAGGGTAAACCGCTTCTTCAAGTAGCGGTTTTTCAAAGTAAACCGCTACTTGAAGTAGCGGTTTTCCAAAATAAACCGCTACATTAAATAGCGGTTTTTTGTAAACAAACCGCTACTTCAAGTAGCGGTTTTAAACTAAGAAACCGCTACTTGAAGTGGCGGTTTATTGCAAAGAAACCGCTACTTCAAGTAGCGGTTTACCCTGGACCGGAAAAAAAAAAAACCGGTTTTTTAACCAGTGCTTACGTGGACGGTAGAATGGGAATTCTTAAAACTTTGGCTGCAATTTGGGAATTGCGGTTCTTCTTGACTTTAATTTGGGAAAGAGCTCTGATTTAATTAACTTTGTCTGAATGTGTTTGACTTTCATTTCATTCAAATAGACTTGTTTGAACGTGTTTGACTTTCTATTGATTCAATTGGCTTCATTGAAAGCATTTGACTTTCATTTAATTCCAAAAGCTTTGTTTGAATGTGTTTGACTTTTATTTGATTCTAAAATATTTGTTTGAATGTTTGACTTTGATTTGATTCAATTAGCTTTGTTGCATGCATTTGACTTTCATTCAATTCAAAAAGCTTTGTTTGAATGTGTTTGACTTTCATTTTATTCAAAAAGCTTTGTGTGAACGTGTTTTACTTTTATTTGATGTAAAAAGGTTTTTTTTTTTTTGGTAAATATAGATTTATATTACCAAAAGAGAGAAGTTACAACTTACAAAGCTAAGTTATAACAGACACCCAAACGACAAAAGCCCTGCAAAACAACAGGTCAAACAACCACCAGATAAAGGTTCCAGATTCAAGCCTAGCCACCTTCTAGGAAGGGTTCTAGGAAGAACCAGGAACACAGCTGGACTCAGACTATCAGCCACCTTCTAGGAAGGGTTTTGAAAGCCAGGACCAGAATATACACCAAAAGCAAACAGCAGAGCAGACAGGCCTGCAACTTCAAAACTAACAGCAGACTAAACAAATAACAAATGCTTCTCACAAGGGTTACATTTGTAACCAACTAAAAACACAATATCCCTAATAACACTCTTAGCAGATTTACAATCTCCATTAAATATCATAGCATTTCTCTGCATCCAAATATTATAAATAGTTTCAGCAAACAACATAGCAATTAATCTGTTCCTGACAGTAGACTTCCTGCAACACTTGGCAATCCATTGTTGTTATTCAGAAAACTACAAAACAGGTCTGGAAAAACCCAGCAGATGCAAAACAGATCTCTAGATTTCTTTTGAGTATGGGCAGTCAAAGAACAGATGTTCCACAGATTCAGCGGCTCCAGAGCAAAGAAAACAGATAGGGTCACAAGGAATGTGCCAGGAAAGTAACCTATCTTTAGTCACCAGTCTGTTCATCAAAACTAACCAAGTTATGAAAAGGCTTTTAGGAGAAGCATGCATGGTTGTTATAGATGATTCTTTTCCATTCAACTTTGAGACCTTGAGGTCTGATTAAATCATAGAGTTTTCTTATACTCATTTTACCCTTGAAAGTCACATCATACCACCCCCCAACACCATTAATCATGTCTCTACAGGACATGATCTTTGTAAGAACCCAGGACAATTTCTTAGGAATAGAAGCAGACCAGAAGTTCTTATTAGCAAAATAATAGGTGTGAATTGACGAGGGGAAAACTAGGTCGTTATCTAATCTTCCCTCGGTCAAACTAAATTTATAAACACTTAACAAACCTAAATACGAGTATAGAGGCAAGTCAACGGTCGAACCCAAAGGAACGGTACTGTTCAAGCACTTTCAATTATGCGCCTAAGTTAGGTCGAAGACGAAGGTAAGAGAGAATACTAACAACTAGAAAACAAGTAACCAAGGAAATAAAACACTAGGAACGGGGATCAACAAGTAATCATGTCAATTGCAACAACTTGGGAAGAGCATGCCAATCAAAGGTTGTGAGGACTAAATGATAAGAGCAATCAATAGGAATCAAAGAGCTATCTCCTAATTGTTAAGCTAGGGTTCACTATGAATAACAAACTAAGAGAATCACAATAAAACCAATTGATAATTGCAATTCCTAAATCAATTGTTCATGTCATTAGCAATTACAATGCAATCTAGCATAATTCTCAAGGCCTAATTGAATTACACACATGAAAACCTTCATTAATCACTTTAATCTCAACAATTAATCAACACAATTCCAAAATTAATCGCAATTAATCAATCATACAAGTTTCACCCAATTCCTCGCCAACAACTACTCAAACAACATCATCAAATCAACTATCAACTATAGAGAACAAGAATCAACAAAATATCAAGAATAATTACTCTAATCACACATCAAATATCAAAATCAAACCAAACAAACATCAAATTAAACAAAGCAATTGAATGAGATAGAGTTTAGAAATGCTCATTGATAATTTAGAATATCTCCAACACAATTGTCACACTTGCATCTTCGATCTCTCAATCACCATTGAAATTCCTCACTTTCTCTCTCTAAAACTACTCCTTATCTAGCCTAATCTAGAGAGAGAAGCTTTCAACCTAAGAGAGAGAAAACTATTCTAAAACTAAAGAATTACATAAATAAATAATAAAGGAAACCAAAAACTATATAAACAAAAGGAGAAAAGAAGCTTAAAATCGTAAAAGACCCAGAAACCCGCGCCCGCGGAGAAATCGGCCGCGCCTGCGGAGGGGAACGGACACCCCGATAGCTGCGCCCGTGGCCCAAGCCCGCGCCCTCGAGACAACCGCGGGTGATTACTGCCCAAATACGGCAGTTTTGGAGCTGCAGCAACCCCGCGCCCGCGACAGTTTTCCAGGGCCAACTTCAGAAGGCTTTAAATTCCGATCTAAGAATCGTATGAAGGCGTGCCACCTATCATTGGAAAGCTATTCAAGTCTAGTTTCCAACCCAACTTGAATCACCCTAATCTGATCTGTAGAACTTGAGATATTACTAAAACAATACACAAAGGTCCTATTTGATACATTGCAATCCTTCGTTTTCCTTTGTTTCAAACTCAAATTCAATTCCGAAAAGTGCATATTGATCCTAGTGGGTGCTATTTTCAATTCCCATGCATATAACCCGCGACATAACTACAAAACAAGACAAAGAAACGGAGAAGAAAAAGAAATAGCCGAGAAATGAATAAAATGATAAGAAAGCCATTAAAAGCATGCATTTCTCTAAACTAACACAAAAAACACGCGAATCGAGCATTATTCTCTAAAAACACGACATAAACGACTACAAAGGAGCATAGAAATATAAAAAAAAACATAGCCTAAAGGTGCCATAAATGGCACGGATCATGAATCCACTTAACCCAAAAGTTATCAAACTTATGAGCAATATCCCAGAGAATCTTAGCAATAGCAGCTTTGTTCCAACCTTCAAGGAAACTGATGTTCCACCCACCACAAGACTTGGGCAGAGACATAAACTTCCAAGCAACCAAAGATTTCTTAGAAGGATTGCCATTGCTTGACCAAAGAAAGCATCTGAACTTTGACTCAATTTCTCTAATGATTTTCTTTGGAAGAACAAAAATCTAAGCCCAATAACCTTGAATCTAATGTAAAAAGATTTGTTTAAATGTGTTTGAATTTCATTTGATTCAATTACTTTATTAAATGCATTTTACTTTCATTTGATTCAAAAAGCTTGGTTTGAATGTGTTTGGCTTTCTTTTGATTCAAAATCTTTTTTTGAACGTGTTTGACTTTCATTTGAAGAAAAAAGCTTTGTTTGAATTTGTTTGACTTTCATTTGATTCAAAAATCTTTGTTTTAATTTATTTGATTTTCATTTGATTCTGTTAGCATCGTCGAATGCATTTGAATTTCGTTCAATTCAGAAAGCTTTATTTGAATGCGTTTTATTTCATTTAATTCATAAAGCTTTGTTAGAATGTGTTTGACTTTCATTTGATTCAATTAGATTTGTTGAATGCATTTATCTTTCATTCGATTCAAAAAGCTTTGTTTGAATGTGTTTGACTTTCATTTAATTAAAAAAGATTTGTCTGAATGTGTTTGACTTTCATTTTATTCAAAAAGCTTTGTTTAAATGCGTGTGACTTTTTTTTAGGTAAATAGAAATTTTATTACCAAAGAATAAGGTTACAACTTACATCAAAGCTAAGCTGTAACACCCCAAACACCAAACAGAATCCAGTCCAAGCCTAGCCACCTTCTAGGAAGGGTTTTAGGAAGAAAATGTGTGTCTGACTTTCATTTGATTTAGTTAGCTTTGTTGAATGCATTTGACTTTCATTCAATTCAAAAGCTTTATTAAAATAATTTGGACTTTCTTTTTATTAAAAAAGCTTGGTTTGAATGTGTTACACTTTCTTTTTATTTAAATAGCTTTGTTTGATTGTGTTTGACTTTCCTTTAATTTATTTAGCTTTGTTGAATTCATTTGACTTTCATTTGAGTAAAAATTCTATGTTTGAATGTGTTTGATTTTCATTTGATTCAATTAACTTTATTTGAATGTGTTTGACTTTCCTTTCATTCAAATAGATTTGTTCGAATGTGTTTGACTTTCATTTGATTCAATTAGCTTCGTTGAAAGCATTTGACTTTCATTCAATTCAAAAACCTTTGTTTGAATTTGTTTGACTTTTATTTGATTCAAAAACCTTTGTTTGAATGTATTTTACTTTCATTTGATTCAATTAGATTCGTTGAATGCATTTGACTTTCTTTCGATTTAAAAGGTTTTGTTTGAATGTGTTTGACTTTTATTTGATTCAAAAAGCTATGTTTGAATGTGTTTAACTTTAATTTTTTTTAAAATTCTTTTTTTAAATGTGTGTGGCTTTCATTTGATTTAGTTAGCTTCGTTGAATGCATTTGACTTTCATTCGATTCAAAAAGCGTGGTTTGAACGTGTTTGACTTTCAATTGAGTCAAAAAGCTTTATTTGAACGTGTTTGACTTTCATTTGATGTAAAAAGGTTTGTTTGAAT